GACCTTCATTGTCTATTAGTTTGAGAATAGGCACGAGCCAGTCAGATCGAGCCCACACCCTCCCTGTTTACACTGCCACTAATGACTTGTCCCTTGCTCCAGCCCTGCCACAGCCATCCACACATGGAACTAATTCTATCTCTGCACAACACAAAGGCCGCCTGCTGGATTGCTCCACCAGCATCATCCTATAAAACAATCTGTTACTAAGGCAACAAGTGGTGTTGGAGACATACATAATTTAACCAGGAGCAGGGGTTGATTGTAGGTGGCCAATCACTGAAGAGAGAGTGTATGGGCCAAGGAGAGCTTTGGAGAAACACAATAAGGATGACATCAGTGTCCGCATGTGCACATAGAAATAGAGTCATTGTGTTTGTCTTGGCCAGCCTATATGTAATTGCTATTAGTGGGCTTTTGTGAAAAGCTTGTGTCAAAACACGAGATATCATCTTGCACAAGCCATGAAAGCTGTTTAGAGAAAGATGTAATGAGCCTATGGTATTAATGTGTATTAAGGCACTATAGGATCATTCCTGTCAAACTAACTTGGACTTGCTTACCAAGCAAAAGGAACAGATTTAAAAAAAGAATAGTCTTGGGAAAAAACTGCGTGGTTGCTATAGTAAAATCTCTTCAGCACAACTGCACTGTGAGAATCAGACTGTAAATATTTGGTCAAACTGTGGATTTTTCCTGGTGTGTCTTTACTTTGCTTTAACATGCAACGAGGAGCCACATGAGCATCCTGGCGGTATAATGTAATGTCATATTTTCGTTCAGTCTTGGTAAATCTAGGTCAAGGGGGCTGCCGAATGAACAGAACCCGTTTCACTGAGTGTAATATAAACACTTTGCCCCAGTCTGTGCCTGCATGACCACATTCCTCGATGCCTAAGCCCTCACATTCCTATAATCCCCACATTTCAACCTCAAGAAGACTATAAAACCCTAAAATGTAATTCACCTATGCATGCCCAACATTCCTTTTTTAAAATAAAGACAAAATGGTACATGACTTCTTCTTTTACCTTTCATTGTTTGGAAGGTATTTGTTGTTTGTGAACAGTAATGATGCAATCATGACTAGTGCATGCTGCACAATGAGGAATTTTACACACAAAAGGAGTTGACTTTGGCTTTAAGCACTGTTGATAACAAACGTCAAGAATTGGGTCTGAGTATTGATAGCAAGGGATTACAACACACCTGATCAACAGGAACACAGTAAGCATTCCTAAGATGACCCTCATGTGCCTTTAATGCTTAACTCTGCTGTAAATAGAAAGTTATAGATCAGTTTGAAATGGGATTACACCAAGTCATGACACTGTGTCGGCGCAGCAGTAGAGCCTTGAGATGTTATGGCGATGGTGTAGTAAACGTCTCGAGATGAGGTGGAAATAGATTTCTGACATGGACAACTCATCCTGGAGGTTTGTTTGTATGACTGCCCAGACTTTGGGGGGAGAAAGATGGGGAGTTATGGGTGGACAGATCGGTGGACCGGCACAGATTGCTTCCGGGCCTTTCTGAGTGCCAGCGTCCAGACGGATGATGATTAACTGGGGATGACTGGTGCTGGCTGGAACCGACCTGAGATCAAATTATGTCTCGTCCAAAATAGAACCTGTACCTTTTGCCTTCATGTCTCAACGCTTTCTCCCCTCCCTCCCTTGGTGTTACCCTCCCTCCAACCCTGCCTCCGCTCTTTTTTTCCTTCCTCCCCCTCCTTTTACTCCCTTCCTCTTTCCATTCTTGCTCCTTCCCTTCATCTTCGTTCCTTCCCACCATCACTTTCCCTGCTCCATTTCCTCCTGCCCTTTTTCTTACTTTTAAACCTTCCTTCCTCTACGTCCTTCCATTACTTTCTTGCTTAATCTCTTGTTCCCTCAATTCCTTCTGTCTTGTTTCACTTCTAACCCTAGACAATGATGTACCCTAATGTAAATAACATTTTTAAGGTTGCTCAGTAAGTCTTCTTACACTCAGATAATATCATATTCCCTATCAACTTGTTCCAGCTCTTTGTTGAAGCTATGTTTACACTGAGTGAAATATTCAAACCCAGATATTGTACAGATATCCATGGTGACCAGATCATGAATCCTACTACCTTTGTGACCACCTGACCTTTCCTGTAGCACCACCATGAGGTTCAGATTCTTAGTATTGTTAGTATTAGAGATCTGTGCAGCACCGCAGCTAAAAGTAACTTCCACCAATTAGTTTTTTAATGTGGGAACCATGAGAAAACCAGAGCTTGCCGTCCTCAGAGGGACAGTTTGGTGTGTAAAGGTCTATGTGGAAAGAGGACAAATGCTAACTCAGTTTGTCATCACCTCTCATGTTCTTTGCAGAGAAGTAGAAAGAAAACTCCCCCTCTTATTATTATAATAGGGGTAGAATGAATGACAGCATTTGCTGCCAGCACCTTCTGATGACTGATGATGCATAACTGTCTCTGTCATGCTCCTGAGGGGAAAACAAGGCTCAGGGATATGCACAGGCACAGGACCAAACCTAAGATTCTATGTTACTAATCAGGGGGAAAAAATAGGCTGTAGGTGCCTCGAGACGGTGGAAAATATCATTGATGTTTCAGAACACATGCAAAAGAGAGATATTACCTTTTTCCCACAATACTGATGGACAGGGGTGTAGCACAAAATTCAAAATACATAGAATTCTCTTTGTGTCTTCCCCACATCCTGATATTTAGGATTTTTTATTAAGGCATTTAATTAATGTTAGCTCTATTTCTTATTGCTCTAGTTTTAATATCTAATATGTTATTTTTATTCGATTAATCATGAATTAATGGCCTGATTTCTTATTTCATCTCAACAGATTGAAATCAAATATGAAGTAAAAGCTAGGTTAAAACGTTAAGTTTTAAATGTATGTTTAAAGACCAACAATTTCATGTTAGACTTTAGACTAGAGAAGAGGATATTCTTTTTTTACATTTTCTATGAATAGGTGGTACAGAGTCTGGTGTCACGATTTGTCCTAAATGAAAGGTTGAAGTCACAATTGTGTAAAAATAATGGAATGTGCATCTGTGACAGAATAGTTTTGGTACCATTGCAATGTGAGCAGGGAGCATGGAAACTGAAATAAATAGAACAGGTCAAACGTTTATTCTGTATGATTATAAAGCTTCAGACACATTTATAGGCAAAGTCTAAAGAAGTGCTATGAAAATATGAATCATGAATTTAAGATATTTTTAACAGGGATATAAACACAGCTGGATATTTTGGATTAAAAGTCATCATTAGGTAAACTTATAATGATCTAGCTTGAAAGGGTCATGTACCTTCAAGGAAAGTTTTGTGAAAACACCTGCAGTTAGGTAATGTGTAGAATCTCCAAGGAACAGACCATTTTTTAGAGGGAGTCACATGTTTGATAACACAGTGATTGCCTGTGTTGTCAACACACTCACAGAGTTTTATAAATGGTTATCTTTCTCCCCTGCACCCAGAATTACATAATACTATCTAACACCTAAAGGGACAGGAACACCAGCAGTGGCGTAAGGTAGTAACAATGGGACCCAGTGCAGAGTGTTATTATGGGCCCTTGCACACACGCACACACAGTCTAAAGTACCATCATGTGATGGATTTTAGAGTCGGACTGTGTCACCTAGACTTTTGTACTTGCAAAGTATAGAAGTCAAAGAGAACGTTATAAAGAGCATGGCCAGTGCTGTCATTGTCAAAATCCTGAAACGTTACTGCAAACAGCTGAGTGCAAGGGAGGTGTCCACTGTGATGAAATGACACAGACTTTTTCAGGCATTTTCAGTACAATAGCCTCCCGAATCACGACAACTACATTCCTCTTCGACAGAGAGGCAGACATTATGGTGAATAAGAAAGAAAAGTGGCCTACTCATAGACAACACCAGTCAGTTTAAAACCCACAAGCACATCCACACAATTAAATACGTAGGCCTACTCAGCAGCAAGCTGACCCCGAAATGATAACAGCTTTTAAAACAGCGGCACGGCAGCCACACCAAATCCACTGAAAAAGCACATGTAAAGTTACTCACCTATTTTGAAGGCATCCGACGAGCCTGCATTGAGCGAAATCTTTGACAATGTCCTCAGTAATCCAAAACAATCTTATTTCGGAGATTTGCAACCCACTCCTCCTGTTCTTTTCTCTCCTGTTTCTTCTTGAAAAAACCTTTATGTTTGAATAGCACATGTGCAAGCTAGCAGCCATTTAAAAAAAAATTAAAAATAGATAATCTGCATATATATCTGACATTGTAAATATTGTTTTATATTATTCAGTTAGAGGTAATGGATTATCTCCTCTTCTTCTGCATTATTTCCATTTTTTTTTACTTGCTTGATTTTTATTTATAAAATAATAATAATAAAAAATAGGACTAAGTACCGATCAGTACACAAGCTACACAGATAAATACATGGGTGGCTGTCTGGCATGGTCAGTTGGCAGACAAAACGTGAAAAGTGAGTTTCCCTTGGCAGGGTTTCTTGGCCTCGATTTTACTTTAGGAAAGATGGATTGTTGTGGATTGTTTTTTCATCATTGTAGAATTAATAAAAAGGAAAGTAACCTTCATCACCTTCACTAGGCGGTCAGAAGCTCAGTGATTAGTACTGTTACCTCAAAGCAAAACACTTGCCGGTTCAAATCAATCAGCCTCTTGAACTCTTTCCATGTGAAATTTACCCTTCCGTGTCTGTGTGGGCTTAGCTAAAATTGAGACTTATTTATCAGTGATGGGAGAAAAGTGGAACAAGTAGCCTACTGCAATAATATTCCTTTTTTTATTTTTATTAACCAGATTAATGCATTACTGTTTGATTTCCCGTGATTACACATTACATCATAGTGAAAGCTACATAACTGCATTACAACTTTAACATAATTATGCTTGCCTTGATTTGAAATTTCTGTACATATTTTATCAAGGAAAATAACTGTTGTTTCTCTTTGCTGCTTCCTTTTAGGAGGACACACCTAAGAATATGTGTTCTGTGCGATATGGAAGAACATAACTAAATCAGCCAGAAAGAAAAAAGGAGATTCTGACAGGCTGCATAGTGAAGGAAATGTCTAATCACATTCTGAACAAAATACCAGTCCAACCTCTTGAAATAATGTAAAAGTAAAGTAATGATATTTATTGCACTTTCCTTATAAAGATATGTAATGTAATATAATTGCAATGGCATTTTTTAGACAAAACACTGAAAACAAATGTTGGCATTGGGTTGTCTGTCCATCTGGCAATGTAAGCAAACAAAACAAGACTATTAATACAGGTGATGAATTAGAAATCACATACAAATGTATTATAATGAGTCTGGTTTTAATTGCTCACCATGATTAATTATGCTGTGGTTTGTTACTTCTCATAATTTCTTATACATAACAAAAATCCCTGTTTACCACCGGACATCCACATGGCCAAGAAAACCACACAGGTGCTGAATGTCCTTGCCCTGTAATCATTTTCTCCACCCTCTCTCCTGTCCTGCTACCCCTCTGTGGTTACTGAATGAGTTTTGTCTGTGTTTGGATGAGCTCATTGGAAAAAGATGTGCCGAAGCTCCACATCTTTCATCTTCCTGCCTGAACAGAGACTTGGACAACACACCCTGGTGCTCTCAAACAAAACAGGTTGGATGTATGTCCATGCAGCAGAATTCTTCAGTTTTGGAAACTTTGTTTCCAGTCCAGAGGGGAAAGACTGGAAATACTGCATTGAGGAAGTTGACAATTAAAAAGGAACTACAAAACAATGCACCTCTTCTACAACTGCTACAACTTCTTCTGCACTGCTGGCCCTTAATGTTCAAATTTATCTTAATTTTTCTTCTCCAGACAGAGGCCATAATTAAAAGAACACTTCATGAAAAGTCTATCTTTTGAGGATAAAATACTCATACCCCATAGCTTTGAAGTACCTGGGAACACGTGCAAATTACCAGCAGGGCAAAATGGGCAACTGCTCCTGTGTTCCACACACTAAATGTCCCAGGTTTGTCAGTTTTGGTAACTTGACCAATTTCAGTGTTTTTGGGAAGTAAATCACTAAAGTATAATATCAACTAAGGTGGGTCCTGCATTATTAACTAATTGTATGACCCTGTTTTGTTGAGGTCAAGTCGAAATCTAGTTTTAAGACCATAATTATTTAAATGTGACATTGTGGTCACATATGCATATATCAAATAAAACGTACACAGCACGGAAACCTGCTACCAGGTAATATTATCTGGGCGTCTGGGCAAATAATGTACAAAGTACATTTGTAGTAGACAGGTTGCGTCTGGACAACCCAAATATGGGTATAATTATTTACTAAACAATTTAATACCACAAGATGCCACGTTCTGGTGTCTTTGAACGTGATAGGATTATCCACACATACATTCTTGGAAAGTGGAGTGCAACAGCCCTTTCCAAATACTCTCCTACCTTTACTGCTTGTTAAGAAGAACAAGGGTAAGAACAAGGGTGTGTGCCTGACGCAGTTGACATGTGGAGATATTTACAAAGCTGCCTCGCTGTGGCTTTAATTTTCTGGTTGTAGGCTAGTGCAGAGCAAACGACAGGAGTAGTTGGAGATGACAGCCAAAACGCTCTTCTGGCAGAGCAGTCAGCACACTAAAGTCCATCTGTTACTAGAGCACTGAGCCACTGGGCTGTCAACTGCATGCATTTATACACTTTAATGGTAAATTTGAGCCTACAGCTGAAATTCCCAAATGTTTTCTAGCCAAAGTGTTGGTCAGGTAGATCCTCCAAAAATCTCTTATGTGAACATTTGGTAATGTTCAGAGTGAAGAATCAAGACTTGCACTGATTTTGTCGGTTCTGGAAATGAGACCTACAATGTCTTGTGTTAATTAGTAGCTAAATTGAAATTATGCTCCTCCACGAAGAGCTATAAGGGGCCCCTGGGAGTCTTCATACCCAGTTTGGAAAAAGTAGTCCAAGAGGTTACAGAAATGGCCCACTAATGAGCACTCCAAATCCCCAGACTGGCTGGGAAAATATATGCAGAGAAGTAAATTGGGAACTGTACTATAGTAGCTGCTCAGTGGCTGTCCACCCTTGGTGAAAAAAGAATGCACACATGCTTAACATAAAGATAAATAGTCATATAAATATTCTGCAAAGAAGTTACACTGTTTATTGCTGCAAAAAGGGGAATTGTTAGATGAATAAATATCCATGATAAATAATCTTTTCACCATTTGCATTAGGTTATTAATCTTAAGTGAAGGAAACTGATTGACACCCACAGAACCCTTATAAAGTATTGGCTATGTTTATGAGTGTTAAACTCTTAATAACTAATAAGATGTTTGAAGCCAAGTTTTCAGATGCTTTAAAACAAAGGAAGACAAAAGTAGTGAGGTAAATGTCTATACATCCGATAAGTACATCTGATAATTATATAGATGATAAAATCTAGTTGGACAAGGGAGACTACTGCACAATAATAAAATGAATCTGAAACCTGTTTGTGTGATGTAGAAAAGTCACTTCACAAAAGTTTCTGCTGCTCTAACCAAAATCTGAGCCATGAGGCATTGCCAGGGTCATGACATTCCTATTTCAATTGACATTTTTCTCATTTGTCAAACCCTTTGAAATTTTCAAACTTCTTACCTAGACCGCTTTGCAGAAAAACAGTCTTTCCTGTAATAGGTGTAACATGTATGCCCAGGAGGCCATTTAAGAACCACTGAGTGGATATTCTGCTTGTTAAAGCAATAAAATGAAATGTATCCCTGTAATTAACTGCAGTATTTAGGTTAAACAGTGAAATTCATACCTATAATTACCTGCAAAAGTTAGGTTAAAACATCAAATGTAACCTCACAGTTTACCATAGAATTTAGGTATGTATGAAATATCTCTGTAACTTGGTTTAACTGTGTCAGTTTAATGAAGGAGGAAAAATGCTTTATTTCCCGCCCACTAGCCTCCATGTCAAATGTGACCAAATCAACCAGTGAGAAAAGGCACCAGTGGCTCACCTGAGGCAGCCCTGTTTGCAGACAGATGTTTATGATCAATTGCCTAATATATTATTATACTGCCATTTTATTTATTATATATACTCTTAGTTTTTCACTTCCGTAAAGTACTTTGTTAATATGCATTTTAAAAATGTTATATAAATACAGTTTACAAACAATTGTCATTGTCATTGAAAGCCATTAATCAGAGCACAGGGTAAACTAATGAGTGATCATGATCAATTAACAACCCAACAATCCCCTGGATTATACTGTTGAGCAGAGATGCAGAGAGAGATACAGACAGATAGACAGACAGAAAGTCTTTAATGAAGACATTGTATTGTATGTTGCTACACCCAGCTTGTCTGTCTGTGTGCATGTGTGTGTTAGCAGCACACTTGTAGGGTTACAGTGAGAGTTTAAATGTTGTCAACACGTATTTAATCACACAGAGACACATACACATATAGGGGAGAGCCGGGATGAAACAATGGACGAATGATACACAGCAATTTCCTCCAAGTCCATACAAGTCTGATGTGCCAAACTACTTCAGTACATACAGTACACAGTACTTACCAGAACAAGTTGTGTTTATTGTTTCATATTCCATTGTCATGATCACATAAGCTATTAGTTAGTACTTTAACACATCCTGAAGTTTTAAATGTCAAAGTTTTACAGTATAGAAGCTAGTAAAGTTTAAAAATGAGGAGTCACTGACTGACTGTTTCAATCGTCCCAACACAGTCATGATACCCTATTTAGATACTGCAGGAGGGGGGCAGCAGGGATGTAATGGGACTGAAATTCAGCCCGGGACTTTGAGACGGAGAGGCCTTTTATGCGAGCGCCGTGTGGGTGCGCAGAGAAAGATTTTTTACAGTTATTTTGATATATAGTGTTGTAGGCTACTTGTGTACAGTAAATTTCATTATAATGAAGTCCTTCAAGAAACTTTAGGATGACACCTACCGGTTTGCTAACTGAGCAAACTAGCTAACGGCACTTAGAGGCAGTTATGACTTGATATGTGATGTGCTGCCCCCTATTTTTTTGGAATATGAATTCCACAGGTGGAAAGTTGTCTTTGTTCTTACACATTGTACCTTTAAGACTGGTTCACATCAGCTATCGATTGGGGCTCGCTAATCGTTACCTATATTTGAACTACTTAACAACATATCCAGTGTTGCCAACTCCTCAGTAAGGAAAGTAGCTATTGGCTGTCCTAAAAGTCGCTATAAGTCGTTAAATGACGTCATTGCCTAATTTGCATAATTGGCCATGTGCATGTAATTGTGATGGACGCTGTAGGAGAGAGGAATAATGTGGGAGAGAAATATTAACTAAAACCCACCCTACATATGTAAATTATAAATCTACATGAAATCTACAACCTCTAGCTCTAAACATATTAGCACCCGATGCTTGTTGAGAAGAGTATAATAATGATACCTGCTTTTACGTAAGAGTCTACAAAATTAAAACAATACCAAAAAACACCACCAGAAAAAGTCGCTAGATTTGACGCTATAGTCGCTTTTTTGGAAAAAGAGTCAAGAGGGGTCTGAAAACTCGCTAAATATTGCAACAAAGTCCCTAAGTTGGCAACACTGGACGCACCAAAGAGGTTCACCGACACATTGCTGACGCATTGCCTACACCAGCTAGATATCTAGCATGCTAAATATCTTGAGCCGACCCAACTGGAGCAGGCAGCTTTTCTTGACAAAATAGTTTGGAGACCAGTCGTCGGTTGACAGAGTTGTCAGATCATATAGTGTGTTAGCCCCTGACGTTGATCAGTCATGTGTGAACATGTAATGTGTAGTGTGACTTCAAGACTCCAGTTACAAGACAGCAAGTCATGTAGTCTGAACAGCACTGCGATCTGCCGATGTTGAAAGTTGTATAGTCTGCACTAGGCTTCAGCTATATCCACCTCAGTCTTAACTCTATGATTTAATGTTCTACCTTGTGTGAACCAGATTTGTGTCTCCAACTTGAAGATTAATCCCCATAAAGTGTAATCATGATATAATTTCATCACAACATGATTAATACGATACATGCACATAAACTTAGATCTGTCATAAAGCACAACATGTAAACCTAACACACTGTGCAACATATTGTGTCTGTGCCAAATTATCATGTTGTCCTGTATTTATTTTG